ATTTTTCCCTCCAGGCCTCTTTATCCCATAGTTGTCACATCTACATACACTTAACCCGCCTCAGCTACCATGATACGTTATGATTTTTGGTTTCAACAGTTTTATATGTTTTTGAGAACTTAAGAGGAGAAAAGTAGTCTGTAATATTTACCCAGGTATTTCTTATTTATTTTGCACTTTCATTGTTCCTGAAGTTCCAGGTTTCTCTCTGGTATTAGTTCCTTTCCACCAGAAGAAAGAAAGTCCTTTAACATTTCTTTTAGAGCAGGTCTGCTGACAATGAATTCTCTTAGTTTTCCTTAGTCTCATAACATCTTTATTTCATCTTCATTCCTGAACTGTATTTTTGCTGAGTATAGTATTTTAGTTTCACACCTTTTGCTATTACTCCCACAGTTTATTATTTAAAAGTTTTTTTCTCTGTTGTTAATATTAGATAACTCGTATATCTTCAAATTCAGAGACTCCTCTTTCATCTCCATTCAGCTATTGAGCCCATCCAGTGAATTTTGTGTTTTTTAGTTCTGAAAGTCCCATTTACTATTTCTTTATAGTTTACATTTCTCTCCTGAGAATTTCTATTATGTATTTCAGAAATGTTCACCCTTACCTAATAGAGCATGGTTTTAATAGCTGCTTTAAAAGTCTTTGATAATTCTAGAGTCTTCAAGAGGTCATCTAGAAGTTGATATCTGTTGATTGTGTTCTTTGAGAATTGGTCAGACTTTTTTTGTTCTTAATATGTCTAATAATTTTGGACTGTATTCTGGACATTTTGGATATTATGTTATGAGATTCTGGTCCTGTTAAAATTGTTAAGAGAATGCTGCTGTATTATTGTTTGTTTTAGTAGACAAGTCAATCCAGTTAAGTTTTGACTACAGATTCTTTCAGACTCTTTCTACAAACCTATGGGCAGTAGTTCCAATATTTGTTCAGTTTTCAAAGCCTTTGCATGTTATTTATGTTGGCCCCTCCCATGCCCACTCGGGTTGCTGTATGACTTGGGCAATGATTTATGTTGTAGTTGTGTTCTCAGAGTATCGTCCCCATACCCTCTGGTTCACAGGGGCCTTCACTTTCCTCCCCATTCTACTTGCTATTATTTAATTCACAGCCCTTGGTTGGTTGCATTTTGTATTTTGTCCAGAATTTTTAGGAGAAGAGAGACACTGCAGTGGGTTTACTTCATTTTGGTGGGGACCAGAAGTCAGACAGTATTGTTTGGTTTTGTTTTTAAACAAATCAATGTTAATGTTATGTAGCTTTCATATAGGAGCTCTGGTAGTGCAACAGTTGAAGTTCTCAACTGCTAACCAAAAGGTTTAAACCTACCAGCTACTCCACGGTAGAAAGATGCGGCAATCTGCTTCCGTAAAGATTTACAGCCTTGGAAGCCCAATGGGGTGGTTCCACTCTGTCCTGTAGGGTCACTATGAGTTGGAATTGACTCGACAACAGTGGATTTGGTTTTTGGTTTTAACTTTCATATGATTAAATGCACCCAATTTTAAGTATGTAGCTTGAGTTGACAAATGTATACCCTCATGTAACTACCATCACATTCAAGATGTAGACCCTTTTCAGTACCTCAGAAATCTCTCTTGTGCCTCTTTGCATTTTGCTTTCCTTTCCCCATTTTGTCCTGAATTATCCTTTGGTAGAGATGTAAAGGATATTAAGGCAAATGATTAGTAGTTAAATAAGATATTTAATATTCTTAAGTTTCCAGGTTTTACTACATGGAATAATGCAAGGAATTGTGCCCAGTTAGAGTTCCCAACTATTACACTTAGTTAGCTATGTGTCTTTTGTAGCCTAGCCATAGTTTTCTCATATTTAAAATGGGAGACAAGTATATTTAACATTCTCCAAAGAATGCTTTGGAGAATTAGATGAGGTGTGTTATGTACCATGTGCAGGACCTGGCATAGAGTAGGTGCATGATCAATGTTATGCCTCTGTCACCTTTTGTCATGTATAATATGCATAAATAACTTGAGCCAGCTGTACTGAAACAGTGATCAAAAATCTCCCATAACTTAGAGCCCTGGCATTACTCTGACAGTGTGGTCTAGACAGATGTTTTTTTTTAAATAATATTTTGTTGTGTTTTTGGTGAACGTTTACACAGCAAATTAGGTGCCCATTTAACAGATTCTACGCAAATTATTCAGTGACATTGATTACATTTTTCAGTGTGTCAGCATTCTTATTAATTCCATTCTCTTGTCACATGAGTTCTTTTTTTTTCCCCTTCTAAATTTTAAAATTTTGTTGTTTTTGAGTAGACAAATGTTTTCATTAACATCCTGTTGGGAAAAAAATTTGAGGGTTTACCTCCGGTATAATTGCACCTTATCAAACAAATACATATACACAGAATTTTTTAAATGGTGAGCTGAAATGTAGATACGTAAGTTGTCATATTTTTGATTATCTAAATATGAGCACATTCAAGGTTGCCCAGGCCCAAACATTAATGGTGGTGAAACCTAGGAATCTGTTTTAAAAAAAACTTTTCTATGGTGATTTTTGATGAACCTGCAACAGATTTTGGAACCTCTGGCTGGGACCAATGTATGATGCTGGAACTCAGACACAGAAAAGGCCCTGACATCAGCTTAGAAAGGGAGTATTTTCTCCTCCCTTCCCTTTTTTCTCTCTGCAAATTAAGACTTTTAATTTCTGAAGCAGCATTTTCCCCCAAATGCCCTTTCTGGTAGGAGAGGATATAGTGTATGGGATGTAATAAAGTAGTAGACACGTAATTCTAATGAATACCACTATTTTTTAGACTTAATTCCCCTCCTCCCCCCGATTAATAGTATTATTACCTTTATTTTATGTATGAATGACTCGATATCATTTGTAGGCAAATTCCTACATAATAACTCAGTGAGAACCTGTGTCTTAGAGCAAAATCACAAAGCCTGGTTAAAATGAAGGTAAAGAGTTTTACTGAGGGAATAAAGACAGCTGCAGCACACACACACACACACACAAAAAATTGCAATGGAGAAATGTTGAGTCCTAACAAATGGAACACATGAATCTGTGAGGGGAGCAGTGGGGGGCATACGGTTATAGGGCTGGAGAAGAAAGTACAAAATAAAATATTCTGATTGATTTACAGTGACTGAGGTCAGTCAAAGGCAAGACAAACTAAAGCATATCTTTGACACTGGTTACATGAATACATTGATTGGCCAGAAGACGTAATTGAAAGACATGGGGTGGGGGTGGGGGGTTCATGTTGGTTACAAAGCAGTGACATGATGGAAATTTTCAGGAGTGGTCTGTTAAAAGTTACCTTGCTGGTGTCAATCTTGGGAGGAGATTGGAAACAAAGAGTTTCTAATTGGGAACAAATGAATTTCCATGAGGTATTTACATTCTTTAGCCTGACCGCAAAGAAATTTAGTTCTTAATAATAGAGGTTGGTTCACAGGCCGCAAAGGTGGTGTCTGGGGGAAAGGTTACACTGAGCTCTTATTAAGCATTAACTCAATCATTTTACAAATAGGTCAGATGCCTCTTTTGATTTTATCCCTGATTACCTGTTATCAGTCTGATGCTTTTTTTTTTTTTTTAAGATAAAGTATTGTAAATCATATTTCTGAGCAAGAGCTGGAAATGACAATATCTATATATTCTGTACAAATAAACATGTTATAGCTTAAGGTCAGTTATTGGGTTTCTTTCCACATATTAACTTATAGATTGGTGGTGTATGTCTGGAGTGTTTTGTTAAAGAAGGATTCTTAGGGAAGTCTGGGTCTAAGAAGTAAGGAATTCCTGGCTATATAAGCATAATGTGCCTTGGGTGAAAGTTTCTGCATCTGTGTTTTTTACTTTTTTGGAGAATATGAATTTTTCTGTGACAAATGGTATTGTTGAGAATAATTGATAGATATCTCTTTTCAAAGCATTAATCGTTATAGAAGATTTTTATTTATTTTTATTGTACTTTAAATGAAGGTTTACAGAACAAATAGTTTCTTATTAAACAGTACATATATTGTTCTATGACAGTGGTTAACAACCCCACGACATGTCAACACTGTCCCTTCTCAATCTTGGGTTCCTTATTACCAGCTTTCCTGTCCCCTCCTGCCTTCTAGTCCCTGTCCCTGGACTGTTGTGCCCGATTAGTCTATAGAAGATTACTTTTCAACTAAATTAATAGTTAACTGATACAGTGGCCTAATTATGGTAAACGGTTTTAGTGTATAGAGATCTGTTTTGAAATGTTATTTGATACGATAAAATTATACATGAAATATAAATCAGCAGACCCAGATTTCAGTTCCATCTCTGGCATCGTAACTATAGTATTTTTGAATGAGTTGGGCTTAGCTGATCTTTTAGGTCCAATTAAGTTTTGAGTTAAAATTCTGTACCCAAATAGTAAGCTCACTAGTTTCATGGGAAATGGAGATATTTGTGACAGCGTTGAATGATAGGGCATTAAATTTAGGTTTTATTTCATAGAAATGAAATAGCAATTGAAGATTATGCACTAGAAATTATTACATGGTACAGATATTTTGTGAGTTTGGTTAAATATCTCTGAAGTACCTTTTGATTTAAAAATTGTTTGAACTCTATTTGAACAATTCAGTGCATAAGATATTAGCAGTTTTATTGATTAAACCTGATAGTGTGCTGAGCATTCTGTTAAATCTTAATTCAGAAATAATTTTTGTTAGTGCTTGGTTTAATGCAGTAACTTACTTTTGCATTTAATGTCCTTTTGGCTTATTTTGAATTCTGCCTTAAAATCATAGAAGAGACCTGCTATATTAATGTTGCAGACTGTTTTTAACTAGTCTTGAGCTTACAACTAAATGTTTTTATTTACTTACAGGACTAAAGAAATATCTTAGGAAAGGAGATTTGGGTGGAGTGTTCGGAAAATTTAAATTCAGCCTAGAAGTTCAGTAAATGTCGATGAAGTGCTATTACCTTAAAATGACTTTTTTTCCCCCCTTCTTTAGAATCCAGCAACTATCACAAGAATACTCCTTAGCCACTTCAATTGGGATAAAGAGAAGTTAATGGAAAGGTAAGGAACTATATTGTCAGCTTTGTATTTAGAAGTAATACAGAAAGCCTGTTGAACTGAATTTATAAGAAGTAAAGTAAGTGTTGATCTATGTACCAGTATGTGAACAATCCAGTGTGTGGTAGTACCTGTTTTCGTTTCTTGTATTTCCCACCTTTAAATTTTGCAATAAACTCAGGCTTAATGTTTCACATTTTCTTTTAGGGGTGGATAGGGAGACTTCGCTTCAATTTCTTCTACATACATCCTGTTGAGTATTGAGATCTAAAAATAAGTTTAAAAAAGAGAGCACTTGATACATTTGGAGCACATAAATAAGATCTTTCTGTAATTACTTAAAAAGATTTCTTGCCAGTAAATCTGGAAATTTATATTAAGCATGTAAATGACATTTATTCAGTAAAAAGAAAATAATCTAAGAAAGTTCCTCAGGGTATCCTGGCCAGCAAAAAAGCTGTTTGGAGTGGTTCTCTGGTTTCAGGGCAGGATTTTATTCCTCGTACTTCACCTCTGAAAATCTTTGCGCTTCTGAAAGAGAACTGGGTTTGAAGAATGACAGCATTAATACCATGCTTGATTTTTTTCCGTTCCTTAGATTGAAAATTTGAGGTGCTTGTTAAGGTGGTGACAACCTATATATAGTTTTTATTCTATTAGCCTTATTCCATTGGCAATTCTAATTTTAGTATAAAATTGTACCTAGTTATTGGTGGGAATTGAGAGCCCAAATATTGTGAGAAGTAAATGGAAAATATTTCCCATTTGATTTTAAACATCAGAGAGCACTTTCTAAAACAGATATTAAATAATTCTAAGAATATAACCCAGTTTCACATACCTTGCACCCAAACTACAATTTCATACAGTAAAACCTGTAAAAGCCGGAACCTGTGTAAGGTGGAAACCTGTCAGAGAAGGACACTAAAACTAGCGATAGAAAACTGGTAAGACCACACCCTGTCAAAAGCGGGAAACATTTGAGATCTGGAAAAACAAGGCAGTCCTGTTGAGTTCCAGCTCTCACAGGTTTCACTGTAGTAACAATCCAAAAACCAAACCCATTGCCATTGAGTCGATTCTGACTCATAGCGACCCTATAGGACAGGGTAGAACTGCCCCAGAGCATTTCCAAGGAGAGGCTAGTGGATTCGAACTGCCGACCTTTTGGTTAGCAGCTGAGCTCTTTAACCACTGTGCCACCAGCGCTCCTTAGTAACAATAAAACCAAAACCAAACCCATTGCCATCGAGTCGATTCCAACTCATAGCAACCCTATAGGACAGAGTAGAACTGCCCCATAGGGTTTCCAAGGAGCAGCTGGTGGATTTGAACTGCCGACCTTTTGGTTAGGAGCCAAATGCTTAACCATTGCACTACCAGGGCTCTGTAGTAACAATAAGAGCTGTCGATTTTTGAGTCCTAGTCTGTGACAGGCACTATTTCATTTTATCCTGTTAGCTTAATGGGGACAGAAGCTATTATCATCTCCACTTACTTCATGTGGAAACTAAGACTTAGAGCTTAAATTATTTATCTGAGCTTATCAACAGAAGGATTTAGCACTCGAACTCAGGTTTGTTGGACTCCAAAGCTCATGTATGTAATAAGTAACAATGCATACCGGTTTCCCAGGGTTCGTGAAGGTTAAAATCCTCCTTTACTAGTTTGATTGGTTGGTTGTTTTCATCTTCATGGGTCTGACAATCTAATTTGAAGTCAGTGGTGTTCTAAAATTATTTTTGGTAACAATGTACTTTCAGGTTATTTATTTTATATAACTCTAAGGAACCTTGGTGGCACAGTGGTTAAGCACTTGGCTGCTAACCAGAATGTTGGTGGTTTGAACTCACCGGTGGCTCCACAGGAGAAAAGACCTGGTGATCTGCTTCCATAATGATTACAGGCTTGGAAACCCTATGGGGCAGTTCTATTCTGTCCTGTAGGGTCTCTGTGAGTCAGAATTAACACAACGGCAACAGGTTACTAGGAAGAGGAGTTGTCCGTGTTTATATCTGATACTCTTCTAATAGATTAGATTTACTCATTCATAGTTTGTCTCTTATTAATGAATTTCTCCAGAGAGACTTAGAATTTTGGCCTATAACACTGTGAACACTGCTGAAAGCATTTTTCAGTTTTATTGTACTTAAGCGTAGTCTGAGTTAGAAAGTAAGATGCTTCTGGGAGACGTCTGTGAGTGTGTGAACTTATCAGTTTCTCCATGTAATTTCAGTTTTTCTTTTATATATTCTGGAGAATATACTATTAGGTTCCTAAAGATTTATAATTTTTTTTTTTTAATTGTACTTCAGGTGAAGGTTTACGGAACAAATAGTTTCTTGTTAAACAGTCAGTACACGTTGTTTTATGACATCGGTTAACAACCCCACGACATGTCAATCCTCTCCCTTCTCAACCTCCTTTTTTTTTTGGTGAAAATATACATAACCAAAGATACACCATTGCAAAAATTTCTACATGCACAATTCAGTAACACTGATTACATTCTTCCAGTTGTGCTGCTATTCTCACTTTAGATGAAGGTTTACAGAACAAAATAGTTTCTCATTAAACAGTTTGGACACATGTTGCCCTATGTCAATGGTTAACAACCCCACTACACATCAACACTGTCCTTACTCACCCTTGGGTTCCCTATCACCAGCTTTCCTGTCCCCTTCTGTCTTCTAGTCCTTGTCCCTGGACTGCTGTGTCTCATTAGTCCTGTTTTGTTTTATGGGGCTGTCCAATCCCCGGCTGAACGGTGGACCTCGGAAGTGACTTCACCACTTAGCTAACAGGGTGTCTGGGTGCCATACTCTCGGGGTTTTAAATAGTTTTTTTAAAATCAACATACAATATATTTTTGTCTTGTTCATTGATTTTTCACTTTATATTCTGTATTGTCTGATATTGGCACTGTCACACCTTTTTTAAAGCGTTTGGGATATCTTTTGCATTTTTTAATACTCAACCTTCTTGGTTTATTTCATTTTAGGTGTATTTTTTCTAAACAGCATGTAGGTGATTTAAAAAAAAAGCAGATCTGTCCAGCAAAGGTATCTTTTAATAGTTGAGATCAACCCATTCGTATATTTTATGATTACTAATGTGTTTAGATTTAACTATTGCCATTGTAAGTTGTACTTCATATTGACTTGTTTCTTACTTGGTTATTTTGTTGGACTGATGAAGTCCCCCCCACCCTTTTTTTTTAACCTAATAATTTCAAAGTTACATATTTGATTTTAGTGTTTCTAGTGATCACTCATACCAGTTGCACATGCATAACTAAAAATATATAACAACATATAGTTACAGTATTTGATTTATTCAGTCCCCTCCAACCCCCAGCACAAGATGAAAGCATGCTTTTCTACTCTATTTCTTCTTCCTCTCTCACCATGATACCAAAAACTAGTTGCCGTTGAGTTGATTCCAACTCATGGTTGCCCTGGCGCATGTCAGTAGAACTGTGCTTCATAGGGTGTTCAATGCCTGTGACCTTTGGAAGTAGATTGCCAGACCTTTCTTCCAAGGTGCCTCTGGGTGGGCTCTAACTGCTGTCTTTTGGGTTAGTAGCCAGGTACTTGACAGTGTGCACCACCTAGGAACTACCTCAACATCATAAGTTGATTTGATTAAATTTGATTTTAAGGTTTGTTAATATATTTAACTTTTTTTCTTTTTGCTACTTTTTTTCTTCTAACCCACTGCTTTTTCCAAATTTACCTTTTTTCCTCTGGACTATATCCTTTAATCATTTGTCAAATTTTATAGATGGTAAACTTTGAGCTCTCGTTTCTTGTAAGGATCTTTATTTCACCCTCATTCTTTAAAAATAGTTTTTCTGGATGTGAATTTTTGGTGGTAAAATTCTTTTCTCTTAAAACTTAGAAGCTATTATTCTGTTATCTTCTTGTATTCAGTGTTGTTAATAAGTCTGTTGTCAGTCTGATTCTTATTCATTGGAATTGTCTTTAAAGAGAGATCCTTACTATTATGAAATTTTATTTTAATATTTCTAGATGTGGTTTTTGGAAGCATATCCAGCTAGGTCCTTTAAGTCTGAGGACTCATGTTTTTGTTCGGGGAAATTTCTTAGCTCTTACTTCTTCAATATTACCTTTCCTGCATTCTCTTGATGGCTTTCTGCAATTCCTGTTAGTCACATATTGAAATTTCTGCATCTCTTCCATATCTAGTTTTTTTTTTAAGTTACTTTATAGTTTTCTTCTATGCTTGTCATCTTCGCGTTTGTACTCTTTTCTGTGAAGATTCCTCAGCACAATTTTTTAATTCACTAACTTGCTTTTCTTTCTTAATCCGTTTTGCTGTTTAGGTATCTTGAGTTGTTTAACAGTTTCCAGCCGATTTTTTTAAATAACAGTTTATTCTTGTTCTGTGGATGTAGTACTCCCCTTATCTCTTTTAGTTTACTAACTATTCTTATGCAGATGTTCTCTTCTAGACTGTACATCAATAAGTATGCATTCAAAAGGATTTAAATATGTACTTCATACCCTTTGAAGTATATTATTTTCAAATTGACCATAGTGTAGACTATAATAAATTAAAAAAAAAAAAAGGGAGATAAGTATGCCTTCTTCACTTGGAACCCAAAAATGAAGTTACTAAAATAATATAAGTACAAATGAAATAAGTTCAGATGTGGGATGTGGCTAAAGAGTTAAGGGAAATTTTGTTTTAAGTGCTTTTACTAGAAAAAGATAAAGAGGTAGAAAATGAACTAAGCCTTTGAAAACAGGAGGTTAGAAAAATAACACAGTAAGCCCAAAGAAAGAAGAATAGGGTTAATAAAATAGAAGTCTCCCTTCCAAAAAATCAAAAAACTAGAGTTTTGAAATGGATTTTTTTAAAGGAGATAAACTGTTGGAAAATATGAAGGGGGTAAAGAAGACACAAATGGCATTGGTAATAACAGTTATTAAGACTAATAATAGAATATAAAGATTAAAATAATACAGAGTTGAATTTTA